CAATAAATTCACAAGTCATTTTCTTTGACATTATTACATTCTGAGAAACAGGTAGTAACATCATAATATAACCAATAATGATAGTGCTTAATGACATAATTTTTGTCCAGGACAATGAAACCTCATGTAACAACATATCCACTACTGAAAAAAAAAAACACAAAAAAAATATATACAACAATAAAATATTGTATACCACTTTTGTTCATTTGACCCATTGTTAAGATCATAATTACTCCCATAAATCTACATTTGTTTTTTATTGTAAACCAATATAGTTGCATTCACATGGAGATGTGAGATGGTTGTGATCACATACAATGTATTAGATTGTAAACTAATCACAAGTTGCAACTTTGTGGATGTGGAAGCTATGAAATTGAAAAGTAAGTGTGAATTTTTGGATTGGTAATTAATTATTAATGAACAAATAACAAAGCATTCAATGAATTCTATTGCGTATATGCAAATTATCTGCTTGCATTTACGCCATTTTTTTTTTCATACTGTAAATACCACTTTTGGCCTTGTTCTCTATTGTTCAAACTATGGTTATTTTCCCCCTGAATCTATAAGTTCCTTGATTGAAAACTGTACTAGTAAAGTTTTTTGTTGTTTTTTCAGATAAGGAATGTCGTGGACTGGTCCCTCTACTAAATGACAGGTTAGGGAATGCAACAAATGACCCATGTATTTATATATAATGTGTGCCATGTGCATTGCAGTCATTTTATTCTGATCAATGATCCACCAGAAGTTAAATAATATACAGACACAGCAGGAAATCCTCATAACTTGGTATAAGACATGTGTGGTTAACTGACATGTACATGAAGGGTTAGAAATTTTAACCGTACAGTGTTTAGTAAATCTCTATAAACTGTATGGTTAATATTAATAAATCTACCTGTTAGTTAACTCAAAGTGTGCAATTACCTATATTTCATTATGAGCAGTTTCATTCAAAATACTCACCAGCATTTATTGGTATCCCTATCACAGTCCCCAACGACACAACTACTGGTGAACTTACACTGTCCCCAAGGACAATGAGACAGTTGAAAACTAAAATAAAAAAAAAGACACAGATGCATTTTTGATACTCGTAATAACTAAAATAATTATTGTTATCTTACTTATAATGACCAATTAAAATGCTGAAATTGTTTCTTAATGTTTTATGATTGGTAGAATATTCTTGTTGAATACTGGTGAAAAAGTCTTGTTGATGACTGGTAAAAAGTCTTTGTTGATGACTGGTAAAAATTTCTTGATGATGTCTGGTGAAATATTCTTCTTGATGATGTCTGGTGAAAAATTCTTCTTGATGACTGATGAAAAGTTCTTGTTGATGACTGGTGAAAAGTTCTTGTTGATGACTGATGAAAAGCTTGTGTTGATGACTGGTGAAAACGTTCCTTGTTGATGACGGGTGACAAATTCTTGTTGATGACTGGTGAAAAGTTCTTGTTGATGAC